GGGGGGGGGGTCTGCAGCATACCTCACCCCCTAGGGTTCCTGTCTTTGAAAGCCTGGGCCACTGTCTCCAGTGATTGTACTTCTTGAAGGGTAGCCTCTTTCTCTTGCTTATCAAGAGAGGTGTTCTTGACGACTTTGTCTGAATTTATGGAGAAGGTTTCAGCCTGATTTGGGACCTCAGAGGCTGCAAGTGAGCCTCCTCCAGAGTCCATCTCAGGTCTTCCTCTGGCTGTAGCTGCTTCTGGACATTCTCATAAAGGAAAATGAGGATAGTACCTTCTCCGGTTCTGAAGATTGAGTACACAAGGAGTTTCAGTCTGCTGACATATATCCAAAACTTAAGGATACCATTTGGATCACAATTGATGTGGTGCATGTGTGCCTTGTCCTAGAGCTACCTTCATTAGCCCTACCAGAAATCGCTGGCTTATGTTCTCTAAAAATGTCTCAACCAATTTTGTCCAGCAATATACTATTGAAGAAGGGGTTCTTAAAAAAGTGGGCTGTCCTTGTTGTAGACCTAGTCATTTCCGGTCTTAACAAGATTTCAACTGTTCCTGTAGAAGACTTATCAGTGTTTAGGGACACTGATGATAAAAGACCGAAAGCCCTATATAAAGCCTTGTTATTTCTTGCAGGCACTACTATTTGGCTTGTTGTTGTGACCATGTCCATCTGCAAAAGTCTTTCTGTTTGGTCAAAGGCTGTAACGTACTCACCTGTCCTTCGTTCCAGACTCATTGATCGACCCTGCCTCCTCATTTACGGTGTCACTCTGCTCCTCCCTCCTACCTGGCTTAAGGCACCAGATTCAATTGCCTGGCGTTCATGTAAAGTGAAGATGCCGTGCAATACCTCTCCAGAACTGTCCTCACTGTAACCTGCTCACAGTATCCCAAAGATTGTCATTACTACCTACCATCCTGTGTCTGCTGACGGGCTGCAGGCCTGTTTGATCATCAGTCCATCCTGTGCTGCTGATATCCTACTGCTGTGCTTGATCATCCATCCATCCATCTAGTGCTGCGCACAGGCTACAGCTCTGCTTGATTATCCCTCCATCCTGTCCTGCAGACATGCTGCAGCTCTGCGTTATTATTCAGCCATCCCTCCTATCTTCAGGCAAGCCCCTGCTCCACAGCACCTCAAGTCCTGTGCACCTCTCAAACCCAAGAATGCATAAACGCAAGTATCATTCTTAAAAGTGATTAACCATTGCATTTGGTGTGAAGTAACTCCAGACTAATTCAACTTAATGTCATGAACTGTTTAACCTCAAGTTTGATAGTTGTGCATACAAGTATATCAAATTGACATTTCCAGAGTTTACCTATATAAACTTGCAGTTTAGTATGTGTTGGACCGTCATGCTCCATCCACGGCTGTGACCCATGAAATATAAAAACCACTGTTGAGCTATTAATGTTACAAAGGCCATGTCACAGGAGCCTGGATCCATACTGATGGATCCCTATGTACCCCAACACCTGGTGCTCCTGCCTGAGATGACTACCTGATATGATTTGCCAGATATCCAGAATGGGCCTCCTTTCAGTGCTTATGTGGTGGACTGTTTTGGTCAAATGTTGGTCTGCAGAGCTTCAGTGCAGAAAGCATCTTTTTTGGATACCCTGTGCTGGGGAACTCTTTTTTGGTGAATCCTTGTTTTCGCCAGCAAGTAAACCCTCTGCTCCTGAGACAAAAGAAAGAGTTCCTTTCGCTTCTCTTAGGCCTCCAGGTCCACGGCCAAGCCTGAACTCAGTTCAGCCATGGACCCCCAAATCCACCAAGTCTGGAAGCAAGCTCTCCTCTCAGTGAGGGGATGCCCCCACTTGTCAGGGGGGGGGGGGTGTTTCTTTGCCTTCACAGCCATCTGGTCCCAGGAATTTTCAGATGCCTGGGTCTGGAACATTGTATCTAGGGTCTACAAACTAGAATTTCAGTCTCTGCCTCCACCCAGTTTTATGTTGTCAAACTTGTCAACATCTAAGGCAGACCTTTTACGCTTCTCTAAAGCAGTTCATTTCTCAAGAGGTCAAAGCCATGGCTCTAGAGAGGGGAAGCTTCCAGTGTTTCTATTCAAACTTGTTCGCTATCCCCAATACAAAAGGTTACAGCCCCATAATGATTCAAGATATTCTAAAAAGATTCCTTCGATTAAAAAAATTCCATATGTAATCCCACAAATCAGTCTGGTGCTGGGATCCTTCCTCTCAAGATGGATGCCAACATAGCACCAGACCTCTTGCAGTGCATCTGATTTTGACTTTGGCAGAGCTTTATATTCCAGCCCTGACCACAGTTTACATCCCAGGTGTGGAAAACTGGTAGGTGGACTTTCTGAGTCATCAATCCTTAACCAGGACATTGTTCTATCATTTTTCTGTACTGCCACTACACATCCTAGGGAGTTTTCCCTCCATTGTCTGGATGTGATACACACAATAGGATCTTAATAGGTAGGTACAGCTCCCGTTTGACAGTCTTGACACCTGGTCGTCAGTTCACACATTTGTTAAGTTTTACTAGGAGGATGTTCAGGCTTCAAGTGATGTCAGCTTTGGCCGTAAGGTTCTTCAGGTGGCTATGCTGACTCTATTGAGCCCCCTCTGTTAACCTGTTGGTTTTTGTAGACCTTTTAGCATTTTGTTTGCTCTGTCACCCACCCCTCAGTTGAACGTCTTTTGGACACCTCAGTCTTCCTGAATTCTCTTGTGCTTCTCTTGTGTCCAATTAATGTATTATTAGGAAAATAGGATTTAGGACTTGTAAAATTATTTTCTTGGAGTACATAACAGGACACAGGTCCCTCCCCTCTGTTTTGTTATGATTCACTCCTATTATTGCTTGCTACAAAACTGGGGCTTGCTGGGAAAGGGAGTTATACTGGGCTGTTCTTACAGCTCTTGTTTGCCAGTGTCCAATCTCTTGAAGGCAGCAACATAACCCAATGTTCCTTAAAGTGACATTAAAGGCAAATATTGTTTTCCCTACCGCCAACGTTAATTAAAGCACTTACCTTAAATTATGTCTCTTATTCTGATCTTTTTCTTCTTTCCTGTAGTTTTTAGCCTTCTCTCCAGTGCTGCTGCAGGCCTCCGATCCAGCACTGACTCCTCTGTCCTTGTTGGCACTTTTTGTCCCACGGTGTCTGCATGCGGTTGCACGCGTCCATACACTTACCTTGTGTCTCTCCTCGTCTCCTTGCCAAAAATCCGAACTGCGCATGCGACCGCCCACAAAATGCTTTGCGGCCGCCAGAGAATTTTCAGATTTTCGGACGGAGCGCCCAGGGAAGACACAGGTAAGTTTAAACCGCTGTTAAAGCGTTTTTTTATTTTTATTTTACTTTTTGCATATATCTACTGCTTGCTAGCAGTAGATGTATGCAAAAAAACCGTGAGGGTTTAGAAACCCTTTAAAACTTCCTGTGTCCCGTAATGTACGCCAAGCAAAGGGTTAGACAAAAATCAGTCAGTGAGGTGTGTGGGTGCAGTGATGGTCAGTGAGGTGCATGAGTGCAGTATCTCCTAAATGTGATGTTGGAACTATTTTGGCAGTGTTGGGCAGATCAGTTTGCCCTGCATACTGCCTATGTGGACATATGTTGTTTTACTGTAAGCAGAGCCACCCTCCTCTCTATATAGTGGCAGACAGTACAGCTGATGGAAAAACACAGCTATGCATGTCCGTGCTGCATACATGTGGCATTCGACTGCAATAGGTAGTCAAGAGGCACCTCCTGACACTGCCATAGCTCAGGGCGTGAGAGGAAAGGCTGAGCTAGCACTCTTCCTCGCTTCCTGAGTTTTTGTTTTATAACAATATTGAATGAGATAGTTATCCATAGGACACAGCAGTGAGATGTCTACATATGTTAATCTCTATGTACATCAACCAGGTTATATATATAACCTGTTATATTAGAATAAATATAAAATTGACAAAAATGTTCTTTTTTTTGCAGCCTATCACAAAACAATATTACGGGAAAGGGGGCAAAGAAACTAGCAGCTGCACTTCCATCCCTATGCTCACTACAGACCCTAAGGTACATTCACTTACCTATTCAGAATGACTTTATGTAAAAAATGACAGAATTAAATGTTTATGATTATTTTATATATTCAAATCTGTTTCATGAAATTTTTAACTTAAAACAGGAATACATAGAACAAGTATTTTAATATGATAATGGTTTTTAATTTCTCATCTGTAAATTGTATCAACCTATCCATTGTAGATGATTTTAGTTTTTTTCCCCTCTAAACAACATTTTATTTTTTTTAAACCCCACGTATCATGTTTTGTTAAGAAAGTCTTTATTTCAGATTTATACTTATATTTATTAATGATTGAGTGAAAATTACATACTGTGACATATGGCAAAATCTGCTGTGTAAAGTCTTTACTGTCATATTCAGGAAAGAAAATGACAACACCTTCTCCTCATGTGTTATTGTTTATTAAAAGACTTCTAAAAATCAACAAATCCATTCTACTCACATGTTCAGTCCAAATATTCATCATATAATTCCTCAACCCAATGTGCACATAAGTAACATAGGATGAAGAAACCTTCTGATGCTGCTGATTTTATGCTGATTATTTGGACGTCTAGAGGGCTGAGAAAATCAATTTTTGTAAAAGGTTTTAAGCAAGGATACATGAAACTATTTGGGAATCCGGAGGTGTTTAGGTAGACACAGATTATAGGCCACCGGATTAACTTGGCTAAGAATGCAGAAAGGTCCAATATATCTGGGACCTAATTTTGGAGAGGGTTGCTTCAACTTGATATTCTTTGCAGGCAACCATACAAGTTGATTTAGGCAAAAACGGGGAGCAGGTCTTCAGTGACGGTCGGCATACTTCTTGTGCCTGGAAGTTGACTGAAGCAGGACTTTCCTTATGTCTCTCCAATGCTTAGTTAATCTGGACACCATGTTGGCCGCTGCTGGTACTCCACAGGAATAGACTAAAAGTGCAAAACCCTAGGTTGGTACCCAAAGGCAGCCTGAATAGGAGAGCATTTTAAAGAAGAGTGCCAAAGAGAGTTATGTGCTAATTCAGCCAGGGGTAACATTTCACTCAAATTGTCATGTTCAGCATTAATATATGCCCTTAGATAGGTTTCTAAGTCCTGATTAACTCTCTCCATCTGGCCATTAGATTGAGGGTGATATCCAAAAGACAGAGAATTTTTGATACCCAGATGTTTGCAAGTAGCTTTCCAAAAGAAAGATATGAATTGCGGCCCTCTGTCAGAAACAATATCCACTGGAATACCGTGTAAACGGATGACTCTCAAACAAGATTTGTACCAAGCTTCAAGCTGAGGGAAGGGCTCTGATAGGGATATAGTGTGCTAACTTGGAAAAGCGATCAACAAACACCCAGATGACAGTATTACCTTTGGAGACAGGCAAATCAACAATTAAATTCATACTAATATGAGTAGATGTGTAACGATCGTGGCTGCACTCCACCGTGGAGCGCAAGCCGCGGGACGGAAGTAGAGGAGCCGATGCGTTCCAGCGTGGAACGCATCGGCCCCTATGACGTCAGCAGCTCCTCCCACACTCCTCCCCTATAAAAGGCTGACAGAAAGATCAGTATGGCGTTCCACTATTGCCAGTGAACGCCAGCTGACAACCAGAGATCCCTTTCCTGGACTATTGGACCTGTTACCTGGAAGAACCCTCGTTGTGCTAGGACATATAATAGCAAGTATAGCTTAGTCTGAGACAGCCTGTCCCAGATAGAGCTCTCTGAAAGTCATTACTTGTGATCTCATGCAAACTGTTGTATGGACTGCCTAGTTACTATCTGAGCCACACCAGTTAAAGGGGAAGTGCTGATATTCCTTTTGTGTGATACTCCTTACCAAAGTCTATTATTGTGCCTGCTTGAATCAAGTGCTGATAACTCTTCTTGTTGGTACACCTTATCAAAGTAGTACTATATTTGAACCCGCTTGAACCACACATAACAGTTGTAACCCAGGTATGCTGTAAATACCCTGGGGCTACTCGTGTGCATCACCACTTAACCCGAAGTAATTGCGGCACATGATGGTAGAGCTCCTAACTCTCCGTTTATGTTTGAGAGTGACGCCTGGAGCTCGACCCTGAAGCCATACCCTTAAACAATTCACTTGAGCTAGGCACACTCCGCTGCTGAGATTCATATATCCTGACCTAGCCGTTACAAGATGGAGCACAAGGTACAGGTAGCGGACAAAGTAATCCTTGGGGAAGAGATAGAGGCATCTTGATGGCTGCACAGACAGTACAGGCTCTAACAAAGGTTATGACATTAGGTATAATGGTAGGCCACCAAACCAGAGGTTTCAAAAGGGAGAAATTCGTTCTGGTGGTATGATATGTGCAGGAACAGTTCAAAGATTCTCACAAGGGAATTGGTGCGACACAGCATCGGCTTTGGTATTCTTAGTCCCAGGGATGCAAGTTGCAAAAAGGTGAAATGAGTTAAAGAATAATGTCCTTCGGGCTTGTCTGGCGTTTAGTCTTTGGGCTGTCTCCAAATAGGTCAGATTCTTGTGGTCTGCCTGTACCACAACAGGGAGTTCAGTACCTTCTACTAGATGTCTCCATTAGGAGAATGCGAGCTTCATAGCCAAAAACTCCCTATTCCCAACATCATAATTTTGTTCAGTAATGGAGAATTTCTTTGAGAAAAAGGCGATAGGATGTAGCTTACTGGAAGCAGGGTCATGTTGCGATAACACTGCCCCAGCACCTACTTCGGAGGCGTCAGCTTCCAAGAAGTATTGAGCAGACGGCATAGGATAGCGGAGAATAGGGGCGGAGCAAAAGGCAGTCTTTAAGCGTTCAAATGCCTCCAATGCTTCTGGAGACCACTTAGAGCAATTGGCCCCTTTCTTAGTCAGAGCAGTAATAGGAGCAGGTATCTTGGTGAAATTCTTGATACATTTCCTGTAATAGTTAGAGAACCCGATAATTTGCTGGATCTCCTTTAAGGTAGCAGGTCTGGGCCACTGTAAAATGGCATTGAGTTTGCTGGAATCCTTTTGAAATCCTTCAGATGAAATTATGTATCCCAAAAAGGGTATTACCGTTTGTTTAAATATGGAAATTTTGCGTATACATATCTCGGAATCTTGGACACGGTCAAACAATTCAGTGATTAACGGTTCTTTACTGTAATTCGATTGAGAGCTCTGTAGTCAATGCAGGGCCTAAGTCCCCCATCCTTTTTCTCTACAAAAAAGAACCCTGGACCCACGGGAGAAGTGGAAGGGCGAATTAAACCCGTATTTAGGCTGTCTTTTATTTGTCCCTCTATCACCTTAGTTTCAGCAGGATTAAGAGGATATGTTCTCTCTTTAGGTAGAGGAGCACCAGGAAGCAATTCTATTGCACAGTCATAGGAACGATGTGGAGGGAGCTCCTCAGCTTCCCTTTCAGAAAATGCATCAGTGAAAACAGCAAAAGCATCAGGTATTTCAGAATCGATATACACCTTATGGATGAACACATTATTAGGAATTATCTTTTGGAGACAGCGAGTTAGACAGGAGGTGCTCCAGTCTGAAATTTGACCAGAGGACCAGTCAACTGATGGCTTATGTTAATTTAACCCAGGGTATCCCAGAATTACGTGTGTCTAGGGGACAGAATAATGTCAAAACACAAAAATTATTGATGAAGGGCACCGAGCAGGACTGAGAGAGGCTTGGATTCATGAGTGATAAGGCCATTGTCTAGAGGGTCTCCTCCTAAAGTGGTTACACAGAGCGGAAGATTTTTAGAGATAGTGGGAATGTGAAGTTTTTTAACCAGTGCTACATCTAGAAACACACCACCTACACCGGAATCCATAAAAAGCACTGGTCTTCCCAGGACAGGGTAATAGGAACTAATAGTCTTTCCTCAAGAGGTTTCAGAATTATATGGCCTAATGGGGCTCCTCGATCACCTATTAAGCCTGAAAGTTTTCCGCCCAGACAGGACATAAATACAGGAAATGCCTCTGCTTTCCACAGTATAATCAGAGACCATAGGTCCAACGTTTTGCATGTTTAGTATCCGACAAACGCACAGCTCCTACATCCATGGGGTCCTCCACAGGAGAGACTGAAGGGGGGGTGGCAGGAGCAGATGGTTGCCAAAAGGGTGGTTTGTAAACAGATCTGCAAGGATTATATTGCCTCTGGCTCTCCCTTTCAAGTTGACTTTAAGCATAACAGGTGTCTACTAAAATACATAGGTTGATGAAATCCTCCAGACTCTCAGGAACCTCGCGGAAGATTAACTCATCCTTTCTGCGATCAGCCAGGACCCTACGAAAGGAGGTCTTGAGGGCGCTATTACCCCAGGAGGTCTCTGCAGCTAATGTACGGAATGCTATGGCGTAGGATGCTACAGAGCGTTGCCCCTGGCGCAGATCAAGAATATTGGCCTCTGCAGCAGACGCAGTTTCAATGAAATTGTGGTAGTCTGCCAGCAGAGGTGAATCCTTCTACAAAAGGGGCGACACCCAGGACGCTTTACCCTTAAGCAATGATATTATAAAAGGTAATTTTGGCATGTGAAGTAGCAAAGACAGAAAGTTGGTTTCTTAAATGTAACCGACAGTGGTTGATAAAATCCCGACACTCAGAAGGATTACCATCATATTTTTCTTGGAGTGGAATCTTAGGGGCTGGAGTAGCAGGAGACTCAGACATAGTAACAGGTTCTCTAGCCATAGCCCCTAAAATAGTAGGTGCTTCAGGAGCCGACCCTGAGTAGTTATCAATGTAGCTAACATAGAGGTGATAGTCACAAGTTTTCCCTCCAAGGACTTCATCTGGTTGGCATGCTCTCCCAGAAGATACCCCTGAAGAGAGACTGCGTGCACCAGCTCATTAAGGCCCATATTGGCCCAAGTTGTAGTATCTATTAAGGTTTTTAATGAATCTCAACTGCGGAAGCTGTGGTACAATAATTACTCAGAGGAAAAAGCCAAGTAACAAAACACATGTGGAAGAATGTCAACTGATAATGACGTGCGTTACCTTATGCA